TGTATGTCGAACTTTTTTTTTCAAATAACTGATAATCTCGTACATATGCGTAGGATATCACACGATTTGTCATCAGACCACTGGGATAATATTTCTCCTATAAATGATTTAAACCTGATCTACTCTATATGTAAAATGCACCTTTTAATACTATGCTATACGTCTATTTATCAACATTATTACTATGACGGCACACAAAGAATCATCTAAAAACATGATATAATTTAATTTTCAACAGAATAACAAAAATATCTCGATGAATAACTTGGGAAACAATTCGTGTCATGATTTTACTACAATGCCCAATATAGCTGATTATTACTTTAAATATTCAATTTAACAACCTAATATAGTTTTTGATTATTACTTCAAGTATCCAATTTAACAACGTTATGAAATAAAACATAATGAACAATTAAATGACCTAGAGCTCATCAATTTAAACCATGTGTAAGACAAGTCGCCCAAACATAATTTGCAGGAGGTGAGGGATCTATAAAATATGGCGGAATACACGACGCTCCAGTAGTACTAGGTGCAACCAAAAATGCATCCCATTGACATCTATTCATATAACGTTATGAGTTACACACGTAAGACTTTATAACGAAATGAAAAAAATAACGTTTTTACCTAATTGAGATAAGGTCATCAATATCAAATTCAGCCTGATGCCAATATTCGTAAACAGGATCCCTTTCTTTTTCTCGCTCCTTCATTCCAACATCCATGGCTTCATTTCTTTTGTGTTCTGCTGCAGCATTCCTTTCCTCATCCAATCGTGCTTCCTCAATTTTCATTACATCGTTCAATGATGCAACCTTATTAAAGAATTCATCATCTTCCTCGGGGAAGAAATGTCCTATTAACATAATAAAATAAAATAAAATAAATAAACATAATTTAATAACATTTATGAATATACGATTCAATTTTAAAATAATGACCTTCTCTTTTCAACCGTTCCCTACGAAGATCTCTTAATTTTTTAACTTTTTCGAGTAATTTTGAAAGTTCTCTATGCTTGTTTCTGTTTGCTTCAGCTTCTTGCACTCGTTTTTCGGCCTCTCTTCTTCTGGCTTGTTCCTAGAATATATATTTAATGAGATGGATTTGCACGTTTCATGTGACATAATTTCTCATTCACTCACGCGTTTCAGTGCTAATTCTTTCGCGATCCACTCAGTCCGCCATTCATCGATAGTTTTATGTAATGTTTCTCTTCGACGCTGCCGTTCATCGCGAACCATTTGTAATTTCTTGATATGTTTTTTTCGCCATTTCTTTTTTTATTTTATTTTATTTTTTTATGTAAATGCTGAATTTGATTACAAAGAATTTAATTATCATAAAATAATTAAAATGAACCTTGTGACGGTTGATCTTTGATAATCTTAATTTTAGATTGTCCACGAATTTTTGTTCTAATAAAACTTGCATGTTCGTGTCTAAGATTTTCTTAAGCGGTTCAAATAAAGGAATTATATATTTATATTGAATTATGAATACACTAGACATTAATACTACCTTTGCATTTTCAACTCTTGCAATCCGCTCCGTCCATTCATCGTGCTTTGCAGATTCCTGCGCTTCTTTTAAATATTCTATTTTAGTTTCTAGATCTTCTAACGAAGATTTGACTTTCAGAATTTTTTTGCAAGAATCTGTAATGCTAGGCATTTTATGTATAGATGCCGTTCAAAACTCTGGGATTTGACGATTTATTGTCACGTGACAAATACTAAACCATTTTGGAAAAAATTTAAAATTAGGGCAAGAGAGAGTCTAATACGCATGAATTCAGAATACGTATTAAAGAGAGATATTTATCATTACATCAGGTAAAATTAGGATATGGTTATGTGACTTGCACGGAATGCTGCAGATAGTAGTCGATTTAGCTTTAGTCGATAAATTCGACTTAGTCGGCTAAGTCAGTCGAATTTTAAAAAATCGACTTGGCCATGTATATAGTAAAAGTTTTCATAACGATAACATTATGATGTCGAATAAGTACTGTAGTTGTATAATTTATACTTCTCTTAATGTGTAACCAACAATCAATTCATTTAGTAGGCATCACTCCACATGATATTTTAACATTTATTGATTGTAGATATTACTTTTTGATAAATTGCCACGCAGTGTGATGTTTGTTAGTAATACTAAATATCGCAGGTTAATATGACCGACCAGGATCTTGTGTAACAAAAACGAACAAAAATTAGAAAAAAATTAAAAATTTTTAAATATCCTAAAATTTTATTATGTAAACTAGTCTTGGGCTTCGAATTAAAAGTTTTTAGCTCTTAATTTTGCATATATATAGGCCCATAACCCTAATACTCGCTCGAACCCTAACCCTAACTAAATATGAACCTGCGATATAGCAACCTGTGATATTTAACAAAATTCAGCTGAGTCTGAAACGGATCCTTGGTCTCGTGATTTCCGAGCAAAACAAAATTAATCTCAGATCCGAACTGAAGACCGATTGGAAATTCTTATCGTGTGGGCTTCGAAAAAAGAATTTGAATTGCTCGAACTGAAAATTGTAACTAGATCATTTGACCAGATCATTAGTCTTTGTATGGAATTTTTGCTTTTACATGAAATAACAAGTTAATGATTTTTTTTTAATTATAAATTTGATTATTGATTTCTCGATTTTTATTGGTTAATTAGAAAAAAAAACATCACATATATAAAACCAATTAAAAAAATTAAAAAATTTAATTTAATAGTTTCATAATCCTTAAAGACCTTCTATTTTCTTTGTATATACACTTATTAAACTCTTTCAGATCTCTATTTTCTTAATATATACATGTACTAAACTTGTGTTTTGAATAAACCTAGTTTTCAAAATCAGGTTAGTATTTTTGCATATTGCTTTTAAAAAAATTAGAAAGAAACTGGAAGCATGTTGTAGTCACAGTTTGTGAAAATTACTAATCAAATAATCAGACTTGATATATAGTAGACAGCCTACTGTGAATGTTTTTCCTTTTTAACTAAGTAATTGTATAGAAATATTACAAGATATAGAGTAACAGAAATAGTAAATTTCATTCTGTTTTAAAGAACAAATAAAGACAGTATATAATTTAAACTTCTGAGATTTTTTGAATAGAGTTTGCTGATTCTCAAGGAAGATTAGCTATAAACTTTCTTATAATGATAAATATCTTTTGCTCATATATCTCTATATACTCTTGTTATAGGAATCCAAAAAAAAACCTGCATAAAGTTTAATATATGTAAATAAAATTAGATTATAAGCTAAATTTGAGCAGAATAATAATGAAAAAACTTAATAGTAATTGTTATATTATTATTATATCATTCATACTCTTATTTGTTCAAATTTAAGAATTTAATAATTCAGTTTTATATAAAGTTTACAGATTATATAAACTAACAATTTCTTGAATTTGGTGTAGTCGTTCATTTAAGATACTTTTT